TTAGAAATTCTTTAGATCTGTAAACATGTTTTTTCATGCAAAGTACACCTTCAAATTGGATATAATTGTATTGCATATTAGCTATATATCTAAGTAAATAAAAGAATATTCTATAGTATCGGGCTATAATTATAAATAACAAACGTTTTCTACGTAGTTTATTTATACAGTGAAAAAAAAGTTTCTGTTAATCTTCTACTCTTAGATAAAATACCAACTGATTTGATTGAAGAATCATGAAGTATTCAAATTTTTTTTTTAACTTTCGTCACTTTCTATACATGCTGTATTGTTGATTAGTTTGATTGGAAAAATAACGTAAAATTTCGCTGGATCTTGTGGTTTTTTGCTAGTTTTACTCGTTGTTATTTTGTAGGTTTGACTTTACATGGTGATTATTATTAAAATATCAATCGGTTTGTAATACATCAATTGATGCTTTAATACACAGAAATTTTATGCTGTTTAATTTGTGTTATGAAGATCGATTGTATGGTGGACATGATAATGATTATAGATATTATAAATTAGTATCCGATTCAAAAAAAAAGATCTCATATTTTATTTTGTAGAATTAGCAGATAAAGAAATTTGGGATCTTTTGATTGAAGAAACAGTATGGTATACTCAAATGCTCTATAATTTTATGTACTAATTTTATCTTATGTAATATACTTATGCATGATCCTCAATTCATTATTTCGTCTTTGACAACTTAGTTAGTCCCATAAGAAAAATTGTTGCCGCTTGAGCTTATATAGAAAAAATTTTTTTCAAAAAGTAAATTCGATTTAACTTTAAATTGTAGATATTCCCTGATGCGTTAAATAAATATGTAATTTAAAATAAGATATTACTAAATAAATGATTGATGTATTACAATGAAACATTTCAAGTTAATATAATAATAACAATAGGTGTTGTTTCAGCTTATGTTTCTTCAATAATTATTCATTTTAATTGCGATAAGTGCATTTTCGAACTAATGAAATGAACTTATGATGATAAAAGAAAAAACGCATTTTGCACTTTATGTCCGTTCCCCTTTATTACCCTTTTCTTTTTCTTCTTTGTTTGATATATCCATATTTATTGATTGTATCAATATCTTTTTCTCTTTTTTTTCCTTTTCTCACATGACTATCGAGTCACATTTCTACTTCGTTATTTCGATCAAAAAATATTAGATATTGAGTCTGTCCCAAGGTTTTATTTATCAATAGAGAAACTTTTATCTTAATGTGATCTTTCGTTTTATATAAGGTAGAAAATTTTTTGATGAGAAAACTCTTATGGATTAATTCTTCCTTTGCTTCGATTTTATCTAAATACTCACCATTTATCTATTTTTTGTCTTCGATAAACATGTTTCGTCTTTATGCTAAGTTTACAACTTAAATTTGAGCAATATCATACGCATACCCAGGTCGAAGAATCCGACAATAAGATCTTGTGCGATATTGCAATACCTTACAAGATCTTACTGTGAAATCTTATATGATCATATAAGATCGTATGAAAGTCATATACGATCTTGTATGATTTTTATAAGATAGTCATAAAGCCTGCACATCTGATCATATCGTGCTGTACGATTCTTATATGATCTTATTGTATGATCTGATAAGATCTTGCATTATTCACACATGCTTCTATACAACTATAGGATGCATCGCATGATTGATATTCTTGCACTTTTCATCACCTCTACCTAATTTTTCAACAGGCTGAGTTACCTTCTTCAAACTCTTTGTTTCAAGAGAAAACATTTATCGCGAAATTTTTATCATTTTACTTCGTCTCAGACTAAATTTATTTTTAAATAAAAAAAATATTTATCATTTCCACATGAAAACATGCAATGAGTAATGGGTAGTTTTATCGAAAACAGATCACAGTTCGGTTTGATGTTAATTTTAAGCTCGTCCTCGAATAATCGACCACCAGTATATAGAGTAGAGTTCGATATTGAAATTGACTTAATTAATTACAGAGTTATAGTTTGGAAAACGGATTTAACCAAATTATATTGGATAAGGTTTCCTTGATTTTATTTTAATCATAAATGAATAATTGTATTATATTTATTTTGTGTTACTTGGAATGATCAGATAAAATAATTTAATTTAATTGTAGAAAAAATCTAGTATGTTAATTTTATTTCAATCGAAATAAAATAAAATGATAAAATTAGGTTAATTTAGTTCCATATAATGTAAATTCTAAATAACATTATCAAATTGAATATTAATTTTGCATTAAAAAAATATAAATGCAATAATTCCATTAGTTTAACTTTATTTCAAGTAAGATTAATCTCTTCACTTTGAATTTATTTTATTTTCCCAGACTATTAAATAAATAATCTTATGAAAATGAACCTATTTTGTTGTAAAACAAGTATAGTTGTATTAAATTGCTTTCATTTTACTTTGACTATAAGTAGATAATCTTCTTAGATTAATTATATCTTAACTGAAATAAGTTAAGCATATACATCAAATGAAACTAACTCCTTTCACATTGATTGAAAGTAAAATAAAATAATATTTTTCATCATTAGTTTGAGTCAAAATAAACCAGAAATATCGAAATTCAGTCGATGAAACCACAAAGACTAAATAAGATCGATACGAATTTCAAATATCTAAAACAAAACTGGATAATTTTGAAGAATTATAAATTAATATAAAAAGCCTAGTTGTATTTTTGAAAAAATATGTGACGTGCAATTTCTTCCACCATACCAGAATATAAGACGAATGTAACGGTTTCTCGCTCATATATATAGTATATATTAGCCATTGTCAGCTTACATGTCCTCTACACTAGAGAATTATTATTAATTACAGTTTTACAAACAAATACAAAAAATGTTTTTTTCAATAAGAATAAACGATAAAATGAATTTAACGAGATAAAATTCAAAACAATAATAAATTTAATCAAGTCAAATCAAATTGATTAGTAGTGTGCTGTTTTTATAATAAGCATCGCTGTATACAAAACGTGTATTTGCAATTTAAAAAGAAATTATATTTCTATTAGGAAGCATTCCATCACTTAAACATGTGTAGTAATCCACATCTATAAACCTATCGTTATAAAAACTAGTTTGCATGAGAAATATCTTAAAATTATGGTCTGACAAGATCCTACAATATCTTACAAGACTCCCATCCTCAGATCTTGCAAGAATCTTATATCAAGAATCATATAAGATTGACGCTAGCATCTTATAATAAGAATCATATTAAATCTTAGAACAAGAAATTTGCAAGATTTCGTAGGATCATACAATCTGAATCTTACAAAATCTAATTGTCAGTAAGATCGTATAAGATCTTATATGATCCTCGTACGATTTTTGCACCTGGGTAGTATTATCATCGATTTTACTCGTAAATAATTCTGTAAAATAACGTCTCTAACGAAAAACGACTGTAACGAACCTATAAAATCTATCAAGTGCAAAACGCCTTTTTTTATACTTCTAAAATACCTTCATCATACCTCCAAAAAGGCCTTTTTCTCACCTTAAAAATGTCCTGTAAGGATTTTTTTGTACTTAAAAAAAAAAGATTATTTTTCCATACCTTATTGTTACAGAGGCCTTTCTCTGTGCAAATTTGATCATATGAAGAGAAATTATTAACAATCGAGGTTAATTTTATTCAACAAAAGGCTCCTTTTAAATATTATATTCGAGTACATGATCACACCAAAAAGTAGAAAACACACAAAGAAAATGAAAAAAAAAGACGAAGACAAGCAGGAGAGTTGCGCATGCTTCCCTCATGCTTGTAAAGTAATTTAACATCAAAACAAAGCCAAGAAGAAGAATAACGAGTACATCTCCTTCTTAAAAATTAGGGTAATATTTAAGAAAGAAAATGACGTTATGTATCTTCTTTCTGATTACACAAGAAGAAAGGAAAAAAAGTGGATAAGAAAGAATGTGAGAATTTTAATAATACTCATAGACGAAGAAAAGAAAAAAAAGATTGATCTAGGTGATCAATATGTAATGGAGAGAAGAGAATAGGGGAAAAGGACGTACGTATATATACACACATACGATCACATACTCACCAGCTGATACAGAAAGAGAAGAAACTACATGTGCATGTATGAAGATTGTTAGAGTGTTCTCTAACACTTATAAATTACTAGCGAGAGTCTGTGCATACTGCACGGATGCTTGTTTACTGTAAAGTTTCACATCTGTCGTTTAGTCTTGATTCGATAATAGACAATCAGCCAGTTCGCATTATATATATATAGAAAGAGATCTTATAGCCTTATACCCTCGTAATCTTACACCCTTGTACCCTTATACTCTTGCGGTATCATCTCTCATACCCTTGTTCCGTTATTCCCTTATCCCTTATATTCCATGTAGCCTTATCTACTTATACCTTATACCCTTATCTCCTTATACCTTTTTAGTTTTATCCCTTATGGTCTTTGTGGATCTATGGGTACCTCTATATAATAGCCCTTGAGGATCCATAGGTACCGCCATAGGACAACTCTTGAGGACCTATGGATAGCCCTTGGATATTTCCTCTATTGCCTTATTCGATCTTTGACTTTTAACCTTTGACCCGGTGACAGATGGACAGACACTGAACATTATTATGTGGATAACTGTAGTGCGTAGTTGGAAAAAAAAGTATCATCTGAGATAGATAAATGACGCGTTAGATATAGATAGGATTGTTCATGTTGTATTCTTCAGTCATCTCATTGATTAGAGATTTGATTCATTCTTTTCCATCATTTTTATCTTTATTGTATTACTTCAAAAAAATATTTAAACATTTTGACTTCTTCTGACTTTACATGAATATACTTTAGTAGTTACAATACGTCGATTGAATTACTTGAAATATGTTGTTTCTTCTTTGTAGTTTCATTTTAATGATGTTCTGTTATTATAGATACAGTGTTATTTCCGTTATCAGAAAAAGATTGTTTTTATTGTTATATACATTAAAATGAAATTTGGTGTACATTTAATGACTAATCTCACATCGGAATGGAATTCTCAATATATTCAGTATCAATATATGAAAGAAATGCTTGAAAAAGCAGTTGTTGAAGCACCGGTATTAGTCAATACTAATGATGATGATGATAGTGATAGCAATTTATTCTGTGAACAATATTTTCTTCATGTTGATGAAGAATTTTTCGAAGTAAGAATTAACGCAATACATCATTCATTTTATATTGACTTATTTGTTTAGTTTTGCGAAAAACAAGTAACAAAGATCAATACTTTCTTTGCTGAAAAACTAGCCGAGTAAGTCTTAATCATTTTCAATATACATATATAGATTGGAAGAATCTATTCATACATATGGAGCATTGAGACGTTTTACAACTCTTACAGATGAAATTGAGTATAGAAAATTAATGTATGGAGAAGTCTCTCCTGCTCGTAAATCCTCGATTGCTCTTATTCAAAAATCAAATAAAATTGGTCAGTCTAATAATAATAGATATCGAAATCATAAATCCAGTATGAAAATATCAATGAATCGTACTTTACCCGATCGATTTGTAAAAATTTCTGAAAAACAACGTACGCATTATAAGGATATCAACAATCTCAAACTAGCATTTAGTGAATATTATTTAATGTTAGTTTTATTACAAAAATATCAACTATTAAATTTTACTGGATTTATTAAAATATTAAAAAAACATGATAAATTATTTCAAACCACACGTGGCAATGAATGGCGGTAGATGTTTTAATATTATTGTAGATATATAAGTACAATAAATTTCTTTCTATTAAATTGCATATTGATACGGCAACGTTTTATACATCAACAGCAGTGACGGAACTTATTCGAGATGTTGAAAAAATCTATATAGATGAACTCGAATCGGGTGATCGATCACGAGCAATGAAACGTCTTCGTGTTCCACCACTTGAAGAAAAACAATCATCAATAGTCACATTTCGTCTTGGAATTTTTATTGGTAATCTGTTTTCATATCCATATAAAATGAATTGTATATTTGATTTTCAGGAATAATTTGTGTTCTATTGCCAATGATTATTATTCTTATTGTTGTTTTGAATAAAAGTCAATCAGGAATAGCATTAGCATGGCGTGAAGCTCTTCATCTGTATCGTTCATCATTTCTTATAATCTTTCAAATTATTCTTGCCAGTATCAATATATATGGTTGGTCATCATCAGGTGTTAATCATATTCTCATATTTGAAATCGATCCACGTAATCATTTAACTTATCAACAATTACTTGAACTTGGAACATTTCTATGTGTTTTTTGGTGTCTTAGTTTCATTGCATTTATTCTTACATCTTATTTAGATTTTTATCCATTTTTACAACCACTTATTTTTCTTATATTGATGGTTCTTTTTATCATTAATCCATTGCCAATACTCTATCGTTCAGCTCGTTATTGGCTTTTAAAAAAATTAGGATTAGTTTGTTCAGCAGCTTTTCATCGTATTCATTTTGCCGATAATTGGCTTTGTAATCAATTAACATCAATTGAATTAGCTTTTTATGATCTTGAATTTTTCTTTTGTTTTTATTTTTCAAATCATCAATGGTGGTCAACAAATTTAACATTACCGTCTTCATCTCAAAATATATTTTGTACAGGTTGGTCAAAATATCTTCTACAATCATGTCTTCTTGCAACACCATCTTTACTTCGTCTTACTCAATGTTTACGACGATATTATGATACAAAACTTAAATTTCCACATCTTGTTAATGCTGGAAAATATTCCGTTAGTATTATTGTGGCCATTACAAATTCACTTCGACGTGCAAACATTGCATTCAATCAAGTTGATCCTAAGAGGCCACAAAATAATCCATTTGTTTATCCATGGATCATTGCTGCATTTATCAATTCCACTTATAAGCTTATCTGGGATGTAAAAATGGATTGGGGGTTGTTTCATAAGAATGCAGGTGAAAATCGATTTTTACGTGATCATATTATCTATTCATCGAAGAATTATTATTATTATGCTATTATTCAAGATCTTGTCTTTCGATACAGTTGGACAGTAAATATCTTCATACATTTTAATTCTGGTGCAGCTGAATATTCTGATGTGATTGGTTTTGGTTTTGGTTTGCTTGAATTAATTCGACGTTTTTCTTGGAACTTTTTTCGTCTTGAAAATGAACATTTGAATAATTGTGGAAGATATCGTGTCATTCGTGATATTTCTATTAAACCCATTGCAACAGGTATTGATTTTGCATTAGCTGATTCTTCAAAATTAAGCAAAACATCGAGCTTGAGAAATCGATATAGAATAGCACGATGTCAAACGATTATCGAGGAAAATAATATGGTTACTGGTGATAATGCAACAATGGATGATCTAGAAAATAATATAGTAGACTTTGTCAACAATCAATTATCAGCATATCGTACGACGACAGTATCGGAAGTGAATACGATTAATCAAACATTGGAAAATATTTCATTTCGAAGATGTCATTCACTTTCATCTTTGAATGAGTGTTTGGATTTAACATAGTTGAACAGACTTGGAACGTGACTGTACTGTTTTTATATATTATATCTTCATTTTTTTTTCTTCATTTTTTATATATAGAAATGTCGACTACTTGTCTCTTCTTACATTGAATTCAAAATACTAATTTCCTAATTCTTTAATTCGAGAGATTCATTGTATTTCAGATAATTTCACAGATAAATTTAACAATCTTAAGTGTGGATGAGTTTCAGTATGAGATAAATATGAAACTAATATTCACGCTTATACCTTTAAATGACAATTTTAATTGATCGATTCAAGCATTTATTAAATATTTCATTCTTCGTTAACAATTCCCGAACCAGTGCAGTAGAAAAACTGCGTGAACCTGGAGTAACACAGGAAAAATACATGCCGTTTGTCAATAAATCATAATTTCATCGGTTAAATTGATTAATAGTATCCTTCCTGGATTCATTTGTAGATTGGCGACTGTGAAAATCGATCGAAAGTGAAAAGAAATAGTTAACTACGTCAATGTTTTCCACTCTCTTTACCAGATACTACTACAGAATAGAAACATCGTTCACCTTCATCGTTATGCTAATTGTTGCATATAACGTAACAATTGTTCTTCAAATTCTTTAAAGACAAAGAGTATTCTTGATTAATAAAAGTACACCAATTAGATGAATGTCAATAGAGAATAGAACTGCATCTTTGATTCGATGGGACAAAAAAATATCGTTCTACACAATGGAATTGTTCAATTTTGTTTTATGAATTATGATTTTTAATCAAATATGCATGACAAGTTAGTCAAATCAACGTTGCAGACTGAATTAAGAGTAGTGTCATTTAAAAGGGCATTTCGAGTCAGATTGAATCACGTTTAGAAAATTTTAAGGGAATGAATGTCAGTATATAAAAATTTTATTCTGAGAAAAATAATTATATATTCGATAGTTCAGAAAATTCTCTCAATCTCTTTTTTACATCGACTCAAGTATACACGCATTCTTTATACATTCTAAACTCATCTTTGTTTCATCTAACAATGGAAGGGCGTGTATTGTAAGTTAAATTCATTGACCGTGTTCGAATTAAATGAACACTCTCACTGAGAAACTAACGAATTTAAAATAAGAGCTGCCCTTAGCTTGCCTGGACAGAGATATGCAATTTTTAAGTTATGTATTATTTAGGATATAGAAACATAATAATATATGAACTAATCACATGAAATTATTAGTATAATCATCCGATTTTTCATACAGTGAGCTTCCAAAATTTTCATGAACTTGTTAAGAATATTCAGACTTCTTTAGATACGACTTCTTCTGAAGTTTAATAGTACAGAATAGGAGACATATCGATAATTATATATAGAAATCCACCATTTATCCATTTTTTCGAGTTTATTTTAAATGAAAGTAACAGATTGTAGAAAACAATATTTCAAGAGATGAACTATAGATGGAAATGAAGACTTTCGATCGAATGACAATAACAAAGGTGCCTTTTGCACCAAGCGCAAGTTAGAAGAGTTCGCTCTTCACAACGAATAACTGAACAATAAAGATCATAGAATTTAAAGCAAACATCTTTTGATTTGTTGATTTCATCGACTGTTTCGCCGAGTATCCTGCCTTGTACGAATTCAGACTTAATAAGATTTTTGAATTGTGGAGCAGGTAATGGGTTGTGAACAATTAAATGCATATTGATAAAAATACTGACGATCGTTCAAGTTCATTTCTATTTGATTGATATGAACATAATGCTCGATTTTCTAGTGAAAATATCGTCATGAACGAAATAAAGATAAATCCTGAAGTTGAATATGATCAGTTAATCCTTCCGAAAAAATCAATAGTTGACTGTCTTGATGTGAAAATACTGCTCCAAATTTTTTCCGATCAGCTTGAGTATTCCAGCAATTAAGAAAAAGAAGGAATTTTCTATCAAACAAAGGACGCAGAATTTTATTTAAAAAAGTGTGATGTTTTTCATCGTTGCTTTTTCTAGATTTCGAAGCTTGTGTGGGTGTGGGTGTGGGTGTCATTAGAACGAGACAGATCCACATCCCACCCTCAGTTATTTTTTGAAGAGCAACATGCCTAATAAAGGGGGAAATACTACTAGAATAGCAATTAGTTGCATTGACATTGTAATTTTGAAGATGGTTAAACATTTGACTTCATATGTGTAAATAAACGAGGTAAGTCGCGACAAGAAAAACGAAGAAACTTTCAAGCAGCTCAATTACTTTCAATCGTTTCTTTTTCTCCTTCCTTTTCACATTTTTAGTTTCAAGTTACTAATAAAGACAAATATGTCAGCGACTTTTTGATAATATTTTCTTTAGCATTGACTACCATGTACAAACATTTTTTGATTTTTCTTTTTGTTCGTGACAATCCTATTTATTAGTTATGTAAAATAATGTAACCAACTATTTTTTGAGTAAAAACATTGGTTACTTTAAATTAATAATAGCATATTCTTAGTATAGCAAGATGGATGAAGTTCGTGTGAAGAATTTATCATAAAAATCGTTTTGATAATCAAGAAACAAGTTAGTGATATTTCACGATTCAGCACACACTTGTATTTTTAATAAATCATGATACATTGTCAACTTTTTAGGAGTTTAAGATTATTGATTTTTTGTTTATTCAAAGAGTCGAAATGGATGAGATGCGACGAGATTATATGAAATATAATGGTAAAGAGCGTTGTGTACGCTCGTGTATGATCTATTAATATGACTATGTTTACGAAATATTTTGGCACACACGACACAACGATACATGATTGTATAGAATTGCACTATTGCTTTTTTTTCTAATATTAATGCAAATTAACACAAATTTCTTTCAAGATCAACTGCTCAACGAAATATAGCTATACATTCGCATTATATCTGTCAAAAAATACCTGTTGTGTAGCGACTTCTAGATAGACGAAATGTTAGCGCTAATAGAACTAAACTCTATAATTTTTCTTCTTATCAATAATCGCATCGTTTTCATACCAGGCATAAACTTGTATAATGAACCATCATAGATATTAAAGGAAATGATAATATAGATAGAAAATAAGAGTCAAGAGATACCGATAGAACGCGACATGATGCAGGAAGACTATAAGATACGCGTACTACATAAGATGGCTAAAAATAGAATAGGAAAAGACCAGTCATCAAGCATACAAATCACTTTACCGCAGGCGTTACAGTTAATAAAACAAAACAACTGTAATAATTCATTCTTTTCTCTACATGACTATGAAAATACTAGTGAAGAGCAGAAAGAAAAGTAAATAAAACGAAGGCGAGCGAATTGAAATATACCGCATGTGATTTGAAATGACAGTAACCTTTCTTTCTCTTTCTTTTAAAAACATTTTTGCTCTTTCTTCATAAAAACAATCAACTATTTTTGACTATCGTATTGTGCAGACATTTACAGAAGAAAACATTTTTTCATAAAATTATGATAAAATTATTTTATTTTTATTTTCATATAAATTGACCATCCTCACGTACGAATATCTTTGGACAATAGAAGTTAATCCTGTTTGAACAGTTCAAATAAACATTCATTACTGCATAAATATCCAAATAATTCAATTATAAATTTACTTTGTTCGTATTTCTTTTTAAACAAGTCATGTATTTATTTTAGAATCTAACTACAAATATTCAACTAAATGGGTTTGCAAAGTGTTTCTCATACTTTTGTGCTTGTCTATCTTTGCGTTATTCATCTCTTGGTCAACCAATATCAGAGCGTTCCAGTGATCAAACGGTCGAACTTAAACCTTAGTAATTTATTTCTACAAGTGGAAAATTCTACTACATTGATTGGTCAACAACAAACCTTGGGTAAGTCGTATTGCACGAATAATAACTGTAGCTACAGAGAGGGTCACTAAAGATTGTCACGAAACAAACCAAATGTAAAATGATTTGAGCTTTCATATCCCGAATACATGATCAAATAGAGACTGTAGATATGCTATACTTCGTCGTAGATATGATCGATAATTTCGATTACCTTTCTGCCACTTCGTATGCGATGCATCTACTGTTGACATTACATAATTGTAATTAACTGTATTTTTACTATATTGTGCATTATCTGTGTTATAAACAGTTATCTGAAGCTCTTTCTGGAACATCCTTCACGGTGATCATTCATATTTCTGAGTAGCTGAACTACAAAATTCACTAAACTTGGTAATATGTTTCTAGTAGAAAATTATACAAAAAAAAAAATCTTCTGTTTGATTATTGGAAACACGAATGCAAGTCAAAATAAAAAGTTGTCTACTAAGGATCGGGAGTACATCGACCCAGATATCTTATTGAAGATTGGAAATGAGGTCTAGTATCTTAACGGTTCAGTGGGAGATATTTTCAAGAGTCTCACATCATTGTGTTATGTGTAGCTAAAGAAAAGCTATCGAATGAAATGTAAAATACATGAGATAATTTGATGCAAGTGTCATGAGACAAATAAAAGGGAAAAATATTCTTTCTGGTATTCAATAAAAGATGCTTTTATTTAAGATTAAGACATGTTACTCGCACGATGTCTGCACATTGCCTGAAGATACATAGTATATTTTTTCTTATGGTATAACTATGGTCTGGATACGGCATTTGAATAAAGTTTGTTTATGTATTAGCATGAGAAATGACTATTTTCAAGTTGGAAATCATTGTCAGTATGTCATCCATCATTTTCTCTTTATGCATAAGAAAAAAGAAAATAAAACTTTGAAAGTAGAAATAACGAAAACACTATTTGTAAATATTTCGCTGATCAGAACTAATGTGTCGGTATATGAACATACTTTGAAAGATCGTACCAAAAAAGGCAGTCGATGAATGAAATTTATCTCAGTTACAAAGGATAATTGCTTTTTCTTTATTGGAAAAGATATTCAATAACGTTTCTGTGTTGTAGTCAATTCATCTCGATGTTTGAAAGAATGGAAACAATTTCGTAGTTCATGCTATCATCCTTTGATTATGAGATCAACAGCTGAGAAAGCCAACCAAACATGCAGTCTTCTTCATGTGAACAATACCTATGTAATGCGTATTCGAGACCCTGTTGAACTTTCTTATGGTGCTGATGCATTGTTTACAAAAAATCTAACAATATTATTAGTTGAAATTGATCCACGACTATTCAAAAGTAAGAATGGAGAAATCTACATGTTCTCTAAAGCGTGAAAAACTTGCATATGACTTTTGTTCTATCTCACATAACTGTAGATAAAATGTTCATGGATATGCTCTTGATAAATGATCGAAATGAATGGCAAATAAGCGAAGAAAAATTACATCAATCTCGACTTCAGTCCAGAATAAAGACAAAATCTTCCAATTTTATTAATAGAAATGAGAAGAATAATCGTAATGGAAACAGCCAGATTTATTCATTTGATGAAGATAATTATTCTTTTGAAAGATTTGATAGTAATCATAACATCTGTAATCAGATTGCATGGAATGCATTCAACAATGATTCATATATACTCGCACTTACTACTTACAAGATATGGGACAAAGTAGTTTGTTCATTGAGTGACATTGATCTGGATTCAACTTACGAATATATATGTCAATATGGTCTGTATTTTTTGTTGAACAATGAAGAAGCAGAGAATTTTCTCTATTTATTTTACAAATCTAGTATTCGACTTTTGTTTTGATAATGACATATGTGGTAAACATGGTCAATGTATTAATAGTTTCGAAGATTACAGATGTTCATGTTCATTTTTTTTCGATGGGAATCATTGTGAAAAGTGTAAGATGAATTTTTGACTTTTGCTATCACGAAGTCGTTTTTTATCCATCTTTAGTTTCATACAAGAAATTACAAATAATAATCGCTTTTATCATCATTGTACTACTTGGATCATTCTTATTAGTCTACAAACTTTGTAGTTGTCTACGTCGACGGTCTACCAATCAACCAATTACCCTGTGAGTTTTTATAATGTTTTTAGAGCGTCGATTATTTTACTTTATTTACATGTAGTAATAGAGAAGAACTCATCGGTATTGAAGGTCGAAGTGAACAAAATACTATCTTGAATAATACAAGTTATTGGAAAGCATTGAAAGAGTAAGTTGATGTTTGTTTGTTAAGATTTAAAAACAGCGGAGATTTCACAAAGAAACGCTAGATAATTGATGTTAATTAACTCTCAAAGTTGTGACCGACTGTTTTGACTCACTTTCAGTTTGGTATATATTCCCAAAGTTCAGTATACCAGAGAATTCAATATTATTGCACGACATGGGTAAATTTAAACTAATGAATTGTAAAAATGCTGTAGAACAGACAGTTAAACAGATCTAAGTTGTTCGAAGTCTATTGAATGATTCTGTAAAGTCGATTTGACTTTTTCGTTCAATTCGTTTTCTTGTAGAAAATTGAAACGAAAACGTTGCATTCGTTCTATTTTGGTTAGTGTCTTGAGTTTGGTCTTCTTCTGTTCTTTGCATGTGATTCCGTTGGTTGTTAAATTTCATACATTATTTCCCTTTGATAATGCTGCATCGATACCAAAGACATGCAAACGTCAATCTTTTTTTTCATTGGATAATGGTATTTCCTTGGGTGTTTCATGTACTCTCACCATCAGCTTCCTGATATTGGCAGTTTTATTTAAACAAAATCCAAACGAACGCCGTCCGTCATCTAGATCTAGAACAAGAATTTCTCAGCGCAGCCAGTACTGCTCCTCTAGAACCGAACAACAGCTGACTTCACTTCCCTCCCAGCTACCTAACGTACAGCCTTCTCACTCCGACGAAATCGTACCTCTGATGCCACAGCCATCATCTGATAGAATGGCTCATACCCAAAGCAGCATGCCTGATACACCTGGTGGTGTTTCTCTATCTAATGCAGTATCACCAGTTGGTAAGTCAGAATTTCTATATGATATCCGATTATCTTCACACATGAAATTGTCTATCTTTTCTAGTACTTCTATCACCAATTGACTCTAACAAAAAAATTAATCGATACGAGTCAGCTGCCATTTTTGGTATTCTTACTTTTGAAATATTAAAAGTTTTCGACGAAGTTTTACTTACTATAAATGAAACATCAGCTGACGGTGTGCTTGTCAAATTTGGCAAACGAATTTTTGTTGTCATTGTGCAGGGGTAAGAAATCTCTTCTTCATGTAGACATTTTTGTAGAAAAAGTTTCACTTAAGATCTCGATACTATCCAGTGCTGGTTTCTTTACGTTTACAAAATACTTTTATTCGATTTCTTGCTTTTACTTATGTAATTGGCATATTAGCATATACTGTTTATCGCGAAAGTGTCTGTCTTGATTTTATGCCCAATGTGGCGAATTTGCAGGAACGAAATATAGCCCAGCTTCGTATCGTAGGTTTAGATTGTTGTTCATGAATGATACTAGTCAAAGGAAATCTAATATTTTTTTTAGCAACTTAGTGCTCGGTCTATTATTTATGGATTGTTTGCGAATACGCCATACTTCGCTTTACTTTCTTACATTGTTGGAGAATTTGGCATACGTCTTATGTTGGATTCATGTCGTGGATATCAACAGGATCATGGTTAGCATCGACATTTTCTTTAATGACTCAATCTGATGACAATTTCTTTTTTTTATCAATAGAAACAGAAGAGTTTCAAGGGCCACTTCAGGAAACACAACCATCAAGTGTTCATTTAACTCATAATCGATCATTTTTTCAAAAATGCTTCCCTCATATCTATCAATGGGATGACAAATTTTTCTTCAAAACTATCACTATATCCATGTATACAGTAAATTTCGTTATTCTATTCCATTTAACATGCAGATTAAGCTTTCTCTATACAACAAGAAGGATGAGTCCAATCTCATTTCTGGCAAAGAGTTTTAACAAGACTTTCAATATTGGTTAGTTGATCTTTTTTCTTTTCATTTGAATTATTTTATTCGTTTATTTTCTAGAGCTCGAAGATAGAATATTTTATACGGAAATTGTTGCTAGTGCAATTGTTACAGCACTCATTTATGGTGCTCAACTTTTGTTTAGTCTAGAAAATCTTAAGAAACATGTGAAACAATATCGTGAAAAAGGTCGACACATGTTAAAATCGGAAAAAGGAATAAATATAGATGAAGCTCCTTTCAAGGCTATTGCATATCCAGGCTATCTTATTCGATATACAGTGGGAGGTTTCCTCATTACTTTCCATTTATTAATCTTCATTGCTTTTATACTTCATCTAATTTGGAATGATTATTATGTTTTTAAGTGGATATTAGAATTCCTTTCATCTATATTAATTTTGTATCTAATGCAATCTCTTCTTGCAAAATGGATTAACAAACTGATCTTTATTCACAATTCGAGAGATCATCAGGTTGCCAACGCTTTAGACAAATCATCCTCTCAAGACACGTCTAGCTATTGTTGTCAATATTGGTATGAATGTAGAGACACTCTGAAGAATATTTTACAATATTTTATGTTAGTTGCTAGTAAGGCATATCTTCTTACATGCGTCAGAATTGGAAGAAATAAATTGTGCCTTCTATTTTAGACTGTTTTATTGGTTTTATATCTTCAATAATTCGTCTAATCAAAGGATTCGTAATCAGTATAATATGTATAAATCGTATCGATTTCTGTCTTTTTCAAGAACCATTTAGATTTTGTGGTAAGACTTATATTTGATATGTTTTTCAGTAAATGGGATTCCATAATTCTTCTATGAATGTCTTGTAACCTTGATAGGATTCATAGAATCATATTTTCGTCATCTAGTCAAAAATATTGAAGAAACATTAAGCATGAAAACTGAAGAAGGTATAATTAGATGATTTAGTTGTGTTTATTATTAGAACAAAAAAAATCATTAGTTTGTTCTTTAATTATTATGACATCTTTAGACGAAAACTTTTGAACTAAACAAAATCAATGAGACGATTGGTCAACTCATTTATGTAATACTGGTCTATAAGTAGCTCTCTAGATAATGCACGAAATTGATTTACATATTTTTTATGAGTTCTTTTGCTTTGTCTGTAAATTAAGAAGTAAGGGTAATATCTGTAAAAAAAAGAAAGATTGATGTTTCAGAGAGTTTTCAGAAATTTTGGAAATTTATCTATGGAAGCAATTGAAAACATCTCGAAAAATACGAGGACATATGTCTAAAGCTTTCTGGAGGAAATAATATTAAAATTTCTTTATAGACTTTGTTAAGTAGTTTTCAAGAGACATTTCTAAAGCATCTCGAAGTATTAGCTGAGTATTGTCGAGAGTTATCTATATAATTCCTCGAATGATCTCTTTAAACGCGTAGAAATTTCTTAGAAATAGTCTAAAATAATATTTACTCGATGTATAATGTATATAACTATATAGGTAGCATTCTCAAGAGTTCACGATAATGTATTCTTGAAAATATACGTAAGAACTGTTAAAAAACCTGCTCAGTGCTTTGTAAAGACATTTCAGGCACTCACCTAACAGATTCTATAAAATGGTTTTTCGACTGTAATAGACTGAGTAGTCCATATGTTTATTGAGAAACTTCTTGTACATGAGTGTTTGATCTAGAAGGCTGTTACGTGACTTCTTTCAGAAACCATCTAAATAGTTTTCTAGAATTAAAGAAAGAATTTTCTAGACACATTTCTAGAAAACTGCAGAAATTGCTAATGTAACACTTTCAAAGAAATGTCCTCGTGATTGTTATTTATATTCTAACAAAACCCTATATTAACAAAAGAAAGTGGCGAACAGTTCGGACTATGTAGAAACATTAAACTAGAGAATTATCAAGAGAAACGAATTCCAATGATATCGAAACTTGATAAAAGATTGTTGCAAGAAAAGTTATACATCTTTGTATTCTTATTTAGATGATGCAAATATGGTGTACTGGCATTTCGTGTACGAGGAAGCATATCTCCTGCAACGTATACAATCATGTAAGCTCGATTTATAGTATTTTCTAGAACTTTTTCCTGATTGTAATTAGTAAATATGTATTTTGTTCTTTTCGAAACGATGATCTAGAACACTTTTTGAGTTTTCTGCACATCGTTCAAGAACGTCTATATAGAGTTAAAGAAAAGAACATCAAATCTATGCTCCTAATTGAGGTTGTAAATAAAAAACTATTGCTATATTTTGGGAACAACGTTATTGCCAGTAGATTGTTGTAATCTAAAATCTATTAATTACGTTGTATTCTGTTCAGATGAAATGACAGCGAATATCTTGTCGAATCTATAATCCATTGAAACGCATTACTCATGTTAACTGATAGATATCGAAGAACTTTTCTTTTTTTGCATTGTCTGAGAACAGACAGAATGTTTTTTGTTCTTCATGATCTCAGCTGTCTTGTTGGGACAAGAGTTATTTATGTTAAAAATTTCTTTATGTTTATTTCAACAGAAACTATTCAAAATTCGATCGATTAGAATAAGTGAATATGACAAGTCTATTTAGATTTTCTATTGTTTTAATTGATATAGAACAAGAATAAAAGATTACGATAATCGAAGGTTCAGAGTATGAAAACCACCGATTTCAAGTATTCAAAAGTCAATAGCTAGAAAGTCGAGGCATGATAAAGAGAAGTTTCTCAAAAAGTTAAAACAACTTGTAGACATTTTCCGTACTTTCAGTACTCTCTTTTAGGTACATCAACAGGTGTTCAGAACGAACCATCAAATGACATTGAAGAATCCAACAATGAAAATGCGAGGGATGATCAACCACAAGAGAACTTCAATACTCGATTAGCAAGAAACGATGCAAATCCTTATGAAATATCTCTTTGATTAAGAACAATTCGATCTTGAATAAGAGCAACGTTCTACTAACGCCCAATGGTTAGTCCACTATCGCGCATGCCTTTATTCATAGTTTCACGTTTCACCATATTTGTATTATAGCTTGCAACTTTATTCATCTAGATTCATTGTCATCATCTCCCTGTAAAAATATAACGTAATTTATAATCTATTAAATTTTCTTAAACTCATCTAGTTCTCATTCTCTAATGCGTTTCTAAACTGTGGTTTATTTTAATTCTTGAAATCCATAACAATCGAAATACTTACGACTTGACAAAGAAGTTTCATTGCAAAAAAAAACTGGACTAATTTCCCTTGGTTATGAGCCATATCTACAGTAACACTTGATAGATCATAGATTTTCGAATCTGTTCTCTCGAAATCACAAAACGAGAAATCTTCTATTCATACACACAACTGATATTGAACAAATATAGTATTCGAATTACTCGCTGAGATAATGAATTCTAGGTAAGTTGAAGCGATTCTCTACCTATTCTTATTAAAATTTGTGATGTGTCTCATTAACCCTTTGTGGACGGTTGGCCCCTTAAGGGACCATGGTGATTCTCTAGCATTTCAAAACACACAGATTCCTATATGGGTTTAGTTTTTATGAAAGCATTTATCAGAGAGTTTTTTGGTATAATTTGGATTATAATTAGGTTATTTTATTCAGATATCCAGTAATGAATAATAAATGTAATAAAACTGACTTTCAGAGAAAAACCTCTATAATCTAGAATCCTTGTCAGCAACGTTGCTCTCTATATAGGAACATGTTAGGTGATGTTCTACATGCGAATCCTTTTTTCTTCTTTCCTTTCCTCTTCTACTGTTGTGGTATGACGCTATGGCTATGTGAATTGCATTTATCTTTTCTTTCTTTATGTTGAAATGCGCGAACATGCGGATATTATCTTACTTGTATTTTCAGATACAGTTTTTTTTCTGTTTTATTTCTTTTCTGTGGTCGCGTATCATCCTCTCTCACAATTTTTCGTAAGTGCTTCTTTCATCCACCGTTTATATATATATATATATGACGTGATTACGACATTCACTTAGAGTATATAAGAACAATCATTGTCTGATTTACAATTAATAAAATTTATCGATTGTTTCCCCGATATCATTGAAAATAAGGCAAGTTAGTTTCATGTAGAATTATTAAAGTTCCAGAGTTCTTTAAAATGGCTACCCGACATCAAACATTAAGTGACTATGAAATTCAAGACATTTTGGCTGATTCTGCTTCTGAAAGCGAGGCTGAAATCGAAGGTGGGGGTGAAGAAGAAGATAATTATGAGGATATGGAAGTAGATGAACCTGAAGAAACTTCTATCAATTTTTCTGCGAGTAATCGTCGAACAACACGAAATCAAAATATACCTTCTCAAATATGGTCTACTGGTAATTTCAAGCCTCATTTGTTTCATTTTGATTCAAGCGAATCTGGTTTGACACAGTATTTGATGAATCATCAGCTTCAGGTTCCACTAGATTTTTTTCAATTCTATTTTGATCAAACTCTGATGGATATAATTGTAACAGAAACAAATCGATATTGTCTACAAAATTCTAAAAATACTTCACCACATGCTGCTCGTTGGATGGATACAAGTATTTATGAAATGTATGTATTTTTGGCTACAACTCTCCTAATGGCTCATGTAAAAAAA